TTACTCTATGGTGTTCAAAAATTTTCTTGGCATATTCCACGTGCTATATTAAATTTAGCTTATTGGCAAATATTTGGTGAATTAGAAGTTCTAGACGATATTGAAAGTGAGTCACATATTAGACTTTCTCTTTCAGAGGAATATCATCTTCTAGATCTCCAATCTGAAGTATTAACCCTTAAGAGCCGAAGTGGCTTCCGCTTATATAAATGAGAATCGAATTAGAAAAACAGAGATTATGGACCCTCAGTATACTCGTACTATAGTTAAAAATAATTACCTTCCTCTTATTCTGAACCTACACAACCTCCATTGGCAGGAATATCCATCCCTGTAAAATCTGAAAAAATAGGAATTTCGACCTGAAACTTCTCCTTTAGATAATTTTGATAATACTCAATATACTCAGAAATTTTCACTTAGAATGGATGCTTTCCTGCTGAGATATTCGAAATCCAAAAATCAGCTAAAAATTGCTAAAAACTTCAACATTCTGTATCTCGCAAAAGAAACAACCGTTGTTCCTGAAAATTTCGGAACTTCCTAAACACTACTAGGGCTATGTATGAGCCAAGTTTCATGTTAGAAATACATTGTTTTGATTCTTCTATGAGGTTGAATGTCTCACCCAAGAAACGTTTTATTGATCACGGCACAAACTGTCAGTAGATCGGTTATAAAATTCTAGAACGCTGACATTGAATAGCTTGATGATATGCTTAAGAGCGTAATGTAAAATAAACTACACTGTGTGTTGCATTTCGGAATAGATAGAACTTTAAGGAAGAAAGGTGTTATTGAAAAGAGTCATCAGTCCTAAAAGGTGATTTGCGACGCCTGACAGCCACCTGAATACTACATTTTGGTCTAGATATGGCCTCGAAAGTCATATCAATCCAGAAAAATATTGATTTTTATCTACAACGTTTTTATAAGACTTTGATTACAATTATTTAAATATCCCTTGGAAGGGACATTCGACTCTTAAGGGTTAAGACTTTCTATTGAAATTTGATCTTAACTTTTTTTGTTTTTCAGAAAACTATGAAATAACTGGTTATGTTGTATTTATATTATTAATTGCTTATATGACAGTAGCAAGTGTTCTTTTAATTAATCTTCTTATTGCTATGTTTAGGTATTACTTTTATCTTTATCTAATATTTTGAAATATTATATTATTATTTATCTTTTTTTTTAAAGTAATACATTTGATCGTTTACAATTAGATACAGATTGTATATGGGAATTTCAACATTACTCATATGTATGTTATCATTTAACTCTTCCATCACTTTCTCCACCATTAATTATATTTTCACATATTTATCGTGTAATAATTTATATTTTTTCACATAAATTTAAAATTGAATGGTTTTATCAAAAATATATTCAACATACGAATCGATCGAAATTTAGTAAATTTTAATAAAAAGAAAAAATGTTTTAATTGACCTTTGTTTTGTTTTTTTTTTGTAGAAATAATTGCTGATGAAATGTTAACAAAAACAATTGAATCTATTGAAGATGCTTTAGGAAATGAAGTTTATTTTTTTTCATTAAAAACTGATCGAAAACAAATTAATCAATCAACTGATTTAAATGAAGAACGAGTGTATGTATTGATTTATTTAATAAAAAAGAAAAAGAAAAGAAAATTTTCTTTAGACATTCTCCACAAGAAATTCTTATAAATAAAATTAAAACACTTGAAAATCAAATTCAAATAATACAAAATCAAGTAGAATCTATTTGAGATCATATAAATCATTATTTTCTTTTTGTTTTTCTAGCAAAGTAATATGTTTCAATATTTGGAATATTTAATGAATGGAATCAAAAAAATTGGTGGTGATGATATTGAAATGCCCAAATTATTATATCAAAATTCTGAATTACTTTGTATGTTATGTATATTTATTCTCGCATTAGACAAAAAAAAGAAAAATCATAGATCACTACTATCCGTTTCAAAATATAGTGCGCGCCACTGTTTTTTAAATAACTCAAGAACGAAATGAGCTAGAGACCTGCGGTTTTTACCAATCGATAGATGAGACAGAGGGACGTCTTTGTCTCGGATAATGTGTCAGGCGAAATCCTTTTAAAACTACTCATCTTTGAAAGACATAGAAAAGAATGCATGAAAATAATCTGCCATCCAAATGAAATTTTTAGTTTGATCTTTGCTTTAGATAGAGGGACTTGAGATCTACAGTTCAAGATACAATGCAAATACTTTTCTTATTGCATTCTAACGTTGACCAAATATAACCATGTATTTACATGCGCAAATAATAGGGAATTTTACTGATTTTTTTACTATGTTTTTGCATTTTTATCATAATAGCTGAACATTTCGATGAAAACGTAAGGAAAAGTAAGAAAGTGCATTGTATCTTAAACTATAGATATCAAATTCCTCTATCTAAATCAAAGGTCAAAATCAAAATTCCATCTGAATGGCAGGTCGTTTTCATGCATTCTTTCCCATGTTTTTCAAAGATGAGTAGTTTTAAAAGGATTTCGCCTGACACATTATCTGAGACAAAGACGCCCCTCTGTCTCATATATCGATTGGTGAAAACCGCAGGTCACTAGCTCGTTGCGTTCTTGAGTTATTTAAAAAACAGTGGCGCGCACTATATTTTGAAACGGACAGTAGTTTCATTTTTATTCAAAAATCATTAGAGTATATAACACTACGATGAATTTCTATAGAAGAATAGGAATATGCTCGCGAGAAGAATGTTCATTAAATGAACTCATCGAATTGATCTCTATTTCGGACAGTAGTTTCCATTCTGAAGGTGTTCGTATTATTCGTAGAGACTACATATCAATTACTATTTATAATTCCCCTAATAAAGATAAATATTCGACTGACGTTCCATAGAAATAGGAAAATAAATTGATATAATTTTGTTTCTCACTTGTTTTTCCTATAATATTTTAGAGATTCATATTAAATGATAATAGAATTAAGAATTATTCAAGCAAACAAAACAAACGTTTTTTTTTTGTTTTATTATAAAATAAATAATGTTTAAAATAAAATTTCATTACTGAATATTTTCTATACATAATGCGAATCAAATAGCAATAGAATTTTGGATCATATTCAATATTTAATATTTAAATTTTGTGAATAATAATAAATTCAAAAAAAATATTGTTTTTTATAAAATATGTAAAAGACTTGTTTTATTTGAAAACTAGTACAAGATTGAAATATACCAATTAAAACCTATTTGAATGATTTGTTTTGATCCAAGAATAAATCTCTACCATCGATAAGGTTGCATCATTAAATGAGCAAGACGATGAATCTGTTTGGATAACCTTTCCTGGAATAATTTCATCTTGATCAATTAATTGAAGATGATCTCCTAGTTGAATTTCTGAAGCAAAAACAGAAGTTGATATTTTATATTTAGAAATAAGATGTTTTAATGAAATTCCAGTTGAATGTGTCGAGTTTTGATAATGATTAAATACAGTTAGATGAGTAAATATGTAGAATTTGGTTTTTTCACTATGAATTATATGACAAATCGGTTTAAAGATTAGTTTATCTCCATCATATACTAGAATTTCTTCTCCAATTTATACATTCGAAAAGGAAATATCTTTTTTATTACGTGTTTGAACTATACTTTGACCACTAAAGCATTTTTTTGTTGATATTCAACTTCACATAACTGTTCTTCATGCTGTTTGTAGCTCGTTTGGTCATTAATTAAGTGAATTTTAACCAACAAATATGGGTGTGGGTGTAGTTGAAGATGATATGAACACCCACACCCACTTCGAAAAATATTATAGGACAAATGGTAGTCTTGTCGGTTTTTCTTGTATTTAAGTGAGAAATCACATAATTACTTTCAAGAAAGAAAAATTGAGTATTACGTGTGTATTATTATTCATAAACTGATTAGTATATCAATCGACCTTGTCTCGCGTTGTTGTGAACATTGTTTGTGTATGAAATCAAATAAATAAAAGAATACGTCTAAATTCAGCTGCTGTGTTAATACGAATTGATCCGATCAATCGATAAAAGTATAAGCTCGAATATACAGGATGATACATAGGAGATAATGATAAGAACGAATCGTAACGGATAGCTATTTGACTGGATGAGCAATAAAGTATAGTCGAATGGTTGCTATATTTTCCAACATTTATTGAAGCAACGACAATTACTTAGATTGATATCGGTTTGGAGAATAGATGATCTTTGATTATATGTAAAAGATTGTTGCTTTGAATGAATGTATATGTGCATGAAATGGTAGCATGCTGTTTATAGTAAGTATAGAATGAACTCATTTGTAAACTATTGTTTCAATAAATGTAGTCTTCAGGAAGCATGTTTGATTGGCAACAAGACTATCGATATCGATCACATTGCTGCTTGTGAAGAATGCAAGCAAAGTACTAAAACATTTTTGATAAAAAAAAACACTCAACTATTGATTGAAAAAGAAGTTCGATTGGCTAGTATCCAGCCATAAATTCACTCACGTTAACGATAGTCAATCGAGATGATGATACATTGCTTCCTTCAATTTTGTAAGCATAGGAATCAAAGAAGGGTGTAGGTGCGGTTGTGTGGGAGTGTTTCTAATTGTACCCACACCCACACATCCGCACCCACAACAGTTTGATGATGAGAAACAAACTGAATATTTGATGCCATCATCTGATACTAAATTTAGTTCATCTACAAAATCTCTGACTTATTTCGAAGATTTATCTAATGAAATTATTTATGAAATATTCGAATATCTCGATTTTTATTATATCTATAAAACTTTTTCAAAATTTAATAAATGCTTGTCAAATCTAATTATTAATTCCAATCTGCCTATTTAAATCAATATTCCATTTATATCCAAATCAAATTTTCAATGTTTCTACACAAATATTATTAAACCTAATCCACAACGAAGGGCGTGAGTGTGTTAATCTGTATCCTTACTCACACCCACATCCACACCAAAACCCAAACACCCACACCCATTTTCCAAATATTCGTCGAGGTCGACAGCACATCATATTCTTCGCACCAGTGACGATCGTGCAAGTTGCTGACAGACGACATTTTAAACCATATTTATAATCATCTATGATTGGTATACAAGGCTTATCTTGTTTACGATTGAAAAATTCTGCTCAACTACAAAAGATAACAAGAAAAAAAAACACATTTTTTAGATGAATTCGATGTAATAATTTACTTAAAGTCAGCAAAACTGATCATGAGAATGAGAATAAGCCAAAGTTACATTTTAGTGTGTCTTAGTTCGATACATTTTTAGATTGAATAAGAGTATTTTTATATATTTGCAGAAGTAAGACATTCCTATCGACTCTCTATTCCTACACTATTTGCTTTCTCTTGATGAATAATATAAAGCATATACACAAGTATACAAATGAATAAGCCTAAAATTGTATATTTGAATATGTACTCTTTGCAAATAATATCAATCAATGCAGATTATAGTTCGTTAGAGCCCTATGGCATTTATATGGGTTATTCATCGTGTTGGCAGTAAATGAAAGGAATAGAAAACATCTATAAGCATAACAAACGAATTACTCTTTATATGCTAGTGTATGAATAATGCATTATTTATGTAAGAATGAAGAAACTTTTGACGGAATTTTGACGATATCCGTGGCCTGGACGTGAGTGACGGTCGGTGCTTCCACGAAGTTTTTACCAGAGATAGAGCTTAAAAAACTGTGATCGCCAGCACCAATCCGAGCTCTATTGACTGATATAGTATGGAGTTATGATTCAAACATTAGTTTTACCTCTGTTTACTTGTAAATCAATATTTACAGTTTTTTATGAAAAACAATCGCGATGCTAGAAGACTTGTTTAATCTCTAAGTTGTTAATGTTCATTGATTTCTCGATACAGGAATACGCAGTGGACATTTATTGCTCAATACAGACATTTCTGGAGAATAGTCGACTAACATTAACGAGCTAAGAAACAACTTAGAGATTAAACAAGTCTTCTAGCATCGCGATTGTTTTTCATAAAAAACTGTGAACATTGATTTACAAGCAAACAAAGGTGAAACTAATGTTTGAATCATAACTTCATACTATATCATTCGATAGAGGTCAGGTTGGTGCTGGCGATCACAGGTTTTTAAGCTCTATCTCTGGTAAAAATTTCGTGGAAAATTAATGAAGTTATGAGAGAGCATCACACATTCAGGGACTTATGGCCAGTAGTATATATACGTCCTGGTATTTGTTCACCGTTGATGTTTACCTTAGGTATTGTCTAGTCATTGCAGGACTGTTCTCTCTTAGCTTATTATCATTTTGGGATATTGCAGAATGAGAATATTCTTTCTCTTTATCACCTTCTATAGTACTATGACCTGTAAGGTCATAGGTTATCTCATTTTCCAACTTGTACATATCTTTTCTCTCTTTCTTCTACCTTCGTATATGACATGATGTTTTTCCTTTGCTCATTCCACAAACATCGCAATCAAAACAGTCTCTAAGAAAAAACGCGGTTTGCACATTCCATAATGTTCGATGTGATACACAATATATATATGTTGACCGCAATGTGCCTCTATTTACCGTTGATTGCTTTAAAGACTATCATACAAAAGTGAACTACTAATAAAGCCGAAAGCCAAAGGGCCAAATAAAAAGTATCTTAATATGCAGACTTCAAAGAAAGTTCACATGAGAAATTCGCTTCAAACAACATAAATGGTGGAGAGTATTTTTCCGTCTTAAATAGTTTTGATTTTATTTCTTTCCAATTGATCTTTCCGATGATGCTCATTACTATAAATATCACGTGCTCAGCACATGATTTGCTTTCATTATACCTGTAACTTATGTAACCGTTCAAGTGCTTGTCAATAGAAAGAAGGTCATACGTTATGGACACATCTTAAGGTCTGTGCAGGTCAAACACATGGAAAAAAAGTTCGACTCGGGTGGTTTATTGTAATAAATGAGTATTTTGTTCAATATATTGTCGTTTCAACGCTGTGACAGTAAACATAGTTTTAACGGCAAAAGAGCATCCCTCGAACTCACTGGGTAATGATATATGGGGATTTTTGTGATCATAACAAACATATTCCAACGATCAAGGTGGTGGATAAGAGCTTCAGCAAGATCGACATTCGAATCATGGAAGGTCAGTCTCATATCTCATTACCGTCGCAAAAGAGTCAGTCTTAATGACCGTGTGTTCTGCTTATTTGGTTGAAAGTTTTTGTCCTGGTAATCCAATATTCAGACTGAAGATCCTTTATATGATTATTCGCGCATTTTTTCGTCATATTGCAAGAGTTCGCATATGTATCATTCATATCCTTTGCATACATTAGATAATATCCACACACAATCGTTGTATATTAGACGCCAGACAAAAATGCAGCTTATCATGAGCTCTTGTGTTTGTCTGCCAGCACGTATTTTTTTTTATTAACATGAGACAGGCAACCAATGTATATTTTTTCCTTTCTCTTCATACATTAATTCCAGGTAATATTGGTTATATGTGTATAACAAGCAAATATATTGCCTACAGACTCTTCTATGGAACTGTTTGCTTATTTATTCATCGAGATGAAAGAAAAGCGATTTTATATGCATTCATGATCACTGCATTAAAAAAGAACTAAAAACATGGGCCGTACTCATTTTATTTAGTATTTTGCTTTCGTTTATATTCAGAACCATTGCTCATTTAAAAAGCAGCAGGTGAATATTTTTTCTTTGGATAACTTTTGACAGAAGCACGATAGAGAGTCGCGGCTTTATCGTTGGAAAAAGGAGATGGAGACGCATCGAATAGTATATCACAGAACAATATGACTTACGAGAAAACGTGCCCAACTGTAAAATAACTTTTGAGCTGACACTATATTCATTCGATAGATCCTAGTGAGTAATGAAAAAGTCTAAAATGAGTTGGTTTTCCAGACCTTCGTTCCTGAGATATCGAAGGTTTACTATAATTTTTAACTAAATGTGGTGCTTCTCTCAGATTCACCGGAAAATCGAGTTTTAAATTTCGACTTGAAACTTTGCAGAAATAAAGGTCTCAATGAGACTAGTTTATTTGGAAAAATTTCGAATTGTTTTGTTGCTCCTCCTACCATAAAATATGAACATTAAACATTTTGCATTTTGTGCTATATACTTGGGGGTGAGCAGTTTGAGTGGTACCCCAGTATTAATTTTTTCATCTACGCATTAGAAAAAGCTGATTTTTTTACCATTTATACTACATATATAATGCTATTCATCTGTCACTATTTGAAATTTATATATCACTAGAAAGGAGAATTATTAAGTGCATCTCTTTGTTTATTGCGCTAACGTGCTTCATGTTGTCTATGTTAACCTACACTGTTCCTACTAAGAGGTTTGAAACAAAACGAAGGATGATTCCATACTTTCATTATTAAACAGTTAATAAGATGAGACAGTTTATCATGTTATCTATCTACGAATAGGATGTTTATTTAAGTTCAAGTTACATAAAGCAGCAACAACTTGTATGATTTTAGTTATTTTATCAAAATCATCAACAGGTCCTCTATAAACACCACCAATAATAGCATAAGTTTTAAGTCGTTGATTAATATTTTCAATCGCTGCTCTTGCACTATTAATATCACGATTGAAATCTTTATCGTCTTGTGTTAATTCACGTCCACGAGGTTTCTTTCTTGGCGTGACTATATATTCTTCCCCGATGTATCCCTTGTCACCGATAATTCGTACAGATTCTTCAACATGTTCTAATAGACCTGATTCTCGAAGAACTGTAATATCATGTGTACTTCCATGGCAACATTCAGACACATGCACTATTCGGTGACGAAAATCACAAGCAATTTGAACTTTAATTGCATAATTTGTTGGACTTTTCGCATGATAATATTCTTTACACTTTTCTGAATCATGCGGTTCAGGAATTGCAATAAAGGTTGAGTCAACAATTAATTTATGATATTGTTCAGGTCCATGTGGTGTTCTTCTATTAGTTAGATCAGCAGGTATAGAAATAAAGGCTGGATATACACACGAATGCAAAATATCCACTACTGCTGATAAGAGATAATTCACCCCTTTTTGACTAAAATTCAATTCTGAAGCAATATAGCGTTCAGAATGATAATGTTTTAAATACCATAATGTAACCACAAGCAAATTCATTGGAGACAAATAGGATGTGCTGATATTATCCCAATGTAACTTGTTTCTATGGGAACAATAATTTACTAATGGTCCTTCACACATAGAACATAATTCATGTACTTGTTCAACGTCATGTCCGGTATGCTGTATGCAAGATGCGTCAGTACGTTTCCATTCTGACCATGGACGTTGATCTAGAATATATAAAAAACTTCCTCATATGAATTCATTTTGACTACTACTGTAGGAATAGATAATGAGCTAACAGATGCATGCATAGATGGAAAAAATTGATGTCACTTACTATCATCCGAAACTTGGAAATGTTGCTGAATATTAACTTCCTTCTCTTCCAATTTTTGTCGTCTTTCTTCTTCAAATTCTGGTGTACAATAATTACAGTTATCACGATGACGATAATAGTGCGTGTACAAACCAGATTTTCCCGAGCCAGTACAAGTCCAAGTTAACATGGAATTACAATCAGGGCAATATTTTCGACGATCAGTTGGAACAGATTCACATTCAGCACAATGCCATTCAATTTGTGGAGAAAACATAATTCAAGTGTACTATGTATTTATTATCGATAGAAAGCGTGTTAAAGAAAACGAAGAATAAAAGAAAGTAAAAAAAATAGATAGAACAGGAATAACTTGAGTTGAATATAACATTAGAACAGAATAGATAAAATATTATGCCGAGCACAAGATGTAAACAAATACCACGTGAAGCACGTTTAGTGCAATAAACACAGAGATGCACTTAATAATTCTCCTTTCTAGTGATATATAAATTTCAAATAGTGACAGATGAATAGCATTATATATGTAGTATAAATGGTAAAAAAATCAGCTTTTTCTAATGCGTAGATGAAAAAATTAATACTGGGGTACCACTCAAACTGCTCACCCCCATGAGAATAAAAAAGATGATGATTATTTGATGCTGTTGATTGTGTTGCAAACGATCCACCATAAATAATCGGAATACCAATACATAAGCTTGCTTTGTGTTTCCGATAATTAAATGTGCGTAACATAACAAATTCTTCTACAAAAACAAATATCTTCAAGATATAAAGAAAATAATTCTTTTCTCTAACTTAAAATTAGAAAAGTATGCCTCTTCAAAATATTCATTTGTTATCGGAATTAAATATCACTCAAACTATGTTTTCGTTGAAAACATTACATATCAACAAAACTCACCATACTATAATGATAAATATTAACTGTCGCTCAGCTTTTTTGACTATTTAAATCAATTTTATTTACCTCGAGGCCGACAATAAAATTTCCATCGATCAATAGTTATATTCCAATTAAAATATTTTTTAACAAAATATTCAAATGAATTGACAACAATATCGAAATTTAATCTTGGATACTTTTTGGCAATTGCCATATGAAATTCAAATTTCGATAAATGTGGAACATAACTTTCTAACATTTCTTGCCATGCATGACCATCAAGTAATTCACCAGAAAATGGCCATGCACCTTTTTCTATGGTGAGGAGAAAATAAAAATACATAAGATTAGGCATAGAACGTAAAATATAACCAATTGAACGGCTATCACATCTAGCGAGAATCTCGAAATCGAAAGATATAACGTGTGGTAATATAGGAAGATCATTTTCATTAATAGATGCCGTTGAAATTGAAACACTAAAATAGAAAAAAACTTTATTTTTAATCGTTTTTTTTTGTTTTAGAGATTTTTCATCTGATATATTCGTATATTTATTAGGAGAATTTACTTGATATTATTATTTTCAATTTGATCATTCTGTCTGACTATGATGCCTAAATATCGAATTGTTTGACAAAGGCGAATAATTGATAAAATTGAATAAATAGATACTGTAGAAGGTGAACCAGATATATATTATTTAAGTGAGATAAGATTCGAAGGTATCAACATATTATTTGACATGTCCATATAATCATAACGATAATGAAGTTCAATTGAACGAAGAGATGATTTGTGCATTAACATAATTCGAGTTAAGTCAGATCTATCGA